AGGATAGGCTCGAAAGCTACACAGAGAAACCCTGCCTCGAAAAAACAAAAAAACAAAACAAAAAGTGAGGAGGTGCAGAGAACATAGACAATCTATTATCCTTTTGAACTATGACCATGAAAGCAAGAACACGTGCTGTACTTGGGTAATGTCCAGCACACAGTTGTCATTCAGTAAGATTATAATTTCTACCATCATCACCTCTGTTACATTACTACCATTTCCAATCCTGTTTCTTAGCTGCAGAGCACTGTAGCTGTAGAATAGAGACTTGAGCCCAAGGGTGGCAGACAGCTGAGTGTAATCCACAAGGTCCTGCTTAAGGACTCAGGCCAAGGCTTTGTGTTCTGGGGAATGCTCGTAGGTGGGCTCAAGAGCAGTGTCTAAGCAGGCACAGGTACTGTTCTCAAGATGAGGGAAGCACAGAGCAGCTGAGAAGTCTGTTGACAGCTCATAGGCTCCAGCCATGGTCTCAGCTAGAGCTGTGGCCAGGCCATGGAGAAGGCAGAAGGAAGAGCAAGGCTGAGCTCTAGGCCATGTAGAATCTAACCTAGCTACCAGAGCAGAGGCTTAGACTCAAGAGCCAAGGGAGCAAACCAGTTATAGCTCGTGAGAGCTCAATGCCAAGACTTGGGTGCAGAAGCCATAGTTGCTCCCTTAGCAGGTGGTAGAGAAGAGCCCAGAACACTGAAGGTCAAGCTGCTGAGATGATAACCCACAACTGTGGTCCATCAAGCAGGAGGGACTGAGCTTCTATTGACATTTCCACCTCCTGTGTGTGATCTTGGAGGTCAGCCATGAAAGACAAAGGCAAAAAACAAAACAAAACAAAAACAAAAAAACAAACATAAACTTATCAGCTTGACCCAGTGTCGTAATTCATTGACTTGGCTACTACAAAATCCTTCCTTCATTAGTCTTAGGAGATATTATCTCAACCACTAACTGCCAACAGCTCTTTAAGGGAGACGTGGGCTTCATCCTCTACCCCCACCATCCATGAAGGCCTATTGGTAGGTCCACAGCAGGTCTTATGCAGGTATTAAACACAATTTCGTTGAGTTCATAAAACCCTTCTACTCATATTCAAAAGCAACCCTAATTAAATCCAGTGGGACACACACACATAAGATATGAAAACAGAAAAGGGACTGAATAGTTGGGGAGAAGGAAGGATTCAACAGGAGAGGGGAGAAAGACAACAAGGAAATGGGGCCATGACCATCATCAAAACATATACAGGTATGAAACTGTCAAAAATAATGAGTAGATGTTACCTAAGACATTTTCAAAAGACTCAGCATAAGTTAATCCTGTTGGCAAGAAGAAATAATAAATGTTTGACTTTAAAAGAATAATGACTCAGATACATATTTTAATGATAAATGGCACCACAGATTGATAGTGCACATGAAGGGCAGATATTATCATGTTCAGCCATGAGCCTGTGTTCTGAGATAAATACATCATTAAGTAAATGGTGTGAAGTAGTATTATGGTATGACATCATAGAGAATACTTGAGCATACCTAAATGATGTAGGCTATCACTGGGCTATATGGTATGGTATAGCCTGTTTGTTACAATATTATTTTCTTGTTTTTTTTAAGATTTTTATTGTGTGTGTGTGTGTGTGTGTGTGTGTGTGTGTGTGTGTGTGTGTGCAGATACCCTCAGAGGCCAGAAAAGAGCAACAGATCCTCTGGAGCTGGAGTTCTAGGTAGTTGTGTGCTGCCAATGAGGTTTTTGGGAATCAAACTCTGTAGGAACAAGAAGTTCCCTAACCACTGAGAAGTCTCCCTAGCCCAATGATTTTCTTTTTAAAATTTAGTTTAAAAACATACTAAGGGGCTGGAGAGATGGCTCAGAGGTTAAGAGCACTGGCTGCTCTTCCAGAGGTCCTGAGTTCAATTCCCAGCAACCACATGACAGCTCACAACCATCTATAATGAGATCTGGCATCCTCCTCTGAAGTTCAGGCATACATGCAGACAGAACACTATATACATAATAAATAAATAACCCTTTAAGAGACAAACTGAGACATGAGAGCTGGAGCCTTTGGTCTAAGGGTGGTAGTGGCTCCTGGTTATTGCCAACACCAGGGTCTTGTGCTCTCTTAACTCTATGTTCCTATCCCTCCCTACACTTTCAAACAGTGTCCTTTTTAATTCATTCATTTATATTGATTTACTCATTTCTTTTGAAATGGGGTCTCTCGGTGTAGCTCTGGTTACCCTGGAACTCACTTTGTAGACCTGGTTGGTCTTGAACTCACAGAGATCAGCCTGCCTCTGCCTTCTGAGTGCTGGGATTAAAGATTTGCACGTAGAGCAAACAGTGCTTTTTAAAAATCTCCACTATTCCTAGATTGCAGTGAGCCATCTGTGACCTGTCAGGATGTTGACCACTCAACTCTAATCTCCATGCACAGTTTGGGTGGCCATCTGCAGCAGCATACTGTGGGTCTTTGATCCCCGGGAAGGAAGAGTGACTGTTCCTCTTTCAGCATCCAGGTTGGATTTCAGACGGGAAGAAAGGGCAAGGCTCCAAATGGTCCTTTGCCAGAAAAGCGGGAGCTTTCTAGGAAGTTCCAGACAGTAGACTTCCACTGGAATGCCACCGCAGAAGCATTTTAACTACAGACATTGCTGTTCAGATAAGACTTCATAGATTTTCCACTAAATCATGAGACAAAACAGCACATTTGTACAAAGTTACAAATAACTTACTGGTATAATTCTTTCCTATTTCATACCTTGGAGTTTCTTTATTCAACATCAATAATAAAATTGGTACAAGCACTATAGAAAACAGTATGGATGTTCCTCAAGGGAAAAAAAAAAAAAAAAACAGATGATTGGGCTGGGGAGATGGCTCAATGGTTAAGAGCACTGGTTGCTCTTCCAGAGGTCCTGAGTTCAATTCCCAGAAACCACATGGTGGCTCACAGCCATCTGTAATGAGAGCTGGTGCCCTGTACTGGCATGCAAGCAGAACACTGTATACATAATAAATAAATCAATTTTTTTCAAGACAGGGTTTCTTTGTGTAGCTTTGGAGCCTGTCCCAGAACTCTGGAGGCAGAAGCAGGTGGATCTCTGTGAGTTCAAGGCCAGCCTTGTCTATCAAGTAAGTTCCAGGACAGCCAGGGCTACACAGAGACCCATGTCTCAAAGAAAACAAGCAAAAAAAGCTTACAAAGAGAAACTGGGAGTAGAATAATAGTTGCCAGGAATGGGACCAGGAAACAGGTAGATGTTTGTCAAAGGGTACAAACTGACAGCTGCAAGATGATCATATTAATTCTGGGAATCTAATGTACAACAGAAATAAATGGTGATGTGTTCATTTGACTTGGTAATCAGCACAGAGTTTGTGTGTGTGTGTATCAGGTCATCATGAAATATGTCTTGAATATATTCAGTCTTTATCAATTAACTGCTTAAATATAAAACTATTATTAAATTAATTAAATATTATCATTACATTTTCATTTAAGTATTATTTGAAAGCACCAACAATACTAACTTCCATTTATCAGGCTTTTCTGAGGATTTTCCATGCATGATGCTTTTTTTTTTTTTTTGCTTGTTTGTTTGCTTGTTTTTGTTTTCTGACACAGGGCTTCTCCTGGCTGTCCTGGAACTCACTCTGTAGACCAGGCTGGTCTACTGCACTACTAGTGTGTCACTGAAAGCCTGTATCTCTTCCCCGTCTCATTTACTTCATAAGGAGGAATCCAGGAATACAGCATGGAAATGCTGGCCTCTTGTATTCTCAAAGTGGGGCACAGCAGGAATAGAAGGGAATGAGCTGGAGTTAGAGACATTAGGCATCAAGGGAAAGGATCCGAGAATAGTGATCAGAGTTCAGTTCATCTGAACAGTAAGTAAGTTCTATGAAGACAGTTAGGATTTCCATTTGGAAGCACACTTTTGGGGTGTATCATCCTTTTATTCAACAGACTGGTCAGACATTGTCCTAAGTAGATGAGAGATGAAGATGAGGTGACCTTGGGAACCAACTGAACTGGACCAGCATCGGCTTAAGGTGCTGTCTGCTGAGCTGTTTGGGGACATGTCTCAGGACCACTCTACCACATCTGCTACCCTCCTGGGTGGATAATGCTGTTCCCAAAAGGCAGGGCTATCAAATGAAAATCTCAGTGCCGGGCATGGGATACCTCCGCATGAGTTGTTGGTTAGGGGGAGTCCAGAGTCTCCCAAACTGTATAATTATTACAACTACTCTTGAGTGTTTGGTTCTAAGCAGACACGTGTGTCACTCTTCCTCTCCCCACAGCCCCCCCCTCACTGAGGGTCTTGGACATTTGAAATTCCAGTGTGAGTTGCATTGTATTTATGAAGGAAAGGACCACTTGCGATGGAAGCAGCCAGCAAAGAGCTCTTTACAGCAGCTAGAGAGGGGCCATTATGGAGTATGTTCCATGACCCTGGGCAAAGTGCTGGTACCATTCCTGGGTTTCTGGGCATCACCTGCAAAACTACAGAGCGGCAGAGGTTGTAATCAAGTCTGCTCCTTGCCTGATTCCTCTCCACTTCGGGCAGAAATGCACTCCATCTGGGAACTTCTGTCTATCGCAGCCTCAGTAGAAGACCGCAGTTGTCTGCGGTTTGATTTGCCATGACAACATTTCAATGTACAGGAGATTTAAAATACTGTCGGCACAAACCTGACTGTTGCTTTCTCTTGAAATTTACATTAGACACGTCATGGTATAAATTCACTCTCCAAGCATTTGCTTTTCCCTAAGTTTGAATCTTTTACTCCAGAACAGCCTTGTTTTGGAGAGAGTTTCGCACGCAGACTTCAAGAGAAAGCTGTGAGAGGAAGTATGCCCCAGCCAACCAACCCGCCTGCCTTAGGAGCACATCTGGAAGTGGTTTCAGGAGCAGCCTCTAAGGCACAAGGCTTGGATTCCCAGCCACTGGAGGAGGAGTGGAAGAAACCCGAGCCATTCAAGTCAACGCAAGCGGAGGTGGGTGTGGACAGCGGAGGCACACTGTCCTGGAAACAGAGCATTGGCCTTGGGGCTCCCCGGCCTCTTGGGATTTCCAATGGGATCTTAGAAGCAGTAGAAGCGAAGCTTAGCTGCCCCTGCGAGGCCAGCTGCAGTTTGAACGCTCCGCCCTGCCCGGTTCTGGACCAAGAAGCCCAAAGCCTCCCTCACCATCCATCAGGTAAATAGAGCAATTTACAAGCAAGGTACTCTTTCCATTTAGCCTCCTCTGCCTACAGTGCTGTTTATTTTGCTGTGAACTCAAAGTACATCAGAGGGGTCAGACCGCCCCAGCCACAGACAGCCTCCAAAAGTCCCTGCTGATCAATGGCATCATACTAGCAGAAGCTTCCCTATGCGACAAATCAAAGTCGTTCCGTGTACGAACATTTCCTATCTTGGGCTGTTTTTGCACAGTTTATCTACATCCTCCCACCCCTGCCCTAATAGTGTGGTTTGTTTGCATTGTATTTTAAGGATGGAGATCTGGAGTTAGATAATGTGAGTCTGCTTCTGAGCCAAAATGACCTAGTTGACTTATGATTCATGTTTTTGGAATCTGTCTTCAGAAAGTGTTTTGGAGCCTCCATCATAGAGCTGGCAATTGTGGGTTTGTTGTGGTACAGGGACCACGATGTCTGCTTTAACATGGAAAACTGTCTCATGTTCCCTTTAGGAGTACATGCACTATCTCTGATAAGTCCAGGAGACCCTCATAGTTAATCTATGATAGATAAAGTTAAGACTGGATAGTAAGCACAGAACTTGAAAAGACAGAGAACTTAGATAGTGTCTAAGCGTCTGAACAAGCTTAGAGATGCAGCGTTTGGCCCATGCAACCTGCTAGCCAATGTGACGCTCGTGGGTTGGCCTTGCCTTTGCATTTTTCTGGAAATGTTTTGGTATTGCACTTCAATGCAATATCCTTTTTGTATTACATAATAGAATTCTAGTCCTCCCTCTGATACAGCCAACACCAGAGCTGCGCCCTGCAGTTGTGAAAGCCTGGGCTGTGGGCCTGGGAGGATCTTTAGACACTTGATTCTGGTCATATCACATTGCAATGCCTACATTTCCTCGAGTGTAAAATGGAAATGAAGTGATATAATAAAACATGTGACACACAGGGTCTGCAAGGAAGTAAGGCCTCAGGGTGCCTGCCTCCCTGGCAAAGCTGATAATGAATTCGGATGACAGGAATGACCACATGTCCTGCACTGGGCAGGTGCCTGTTCTTGATGCATCCTTCCTCTGACATTCTGGTGGCTTCAAGTGTCCCTTGTCTCCCAACATGTCTTCTCCCCAGGGCCTTGCTTTCTTCCTTCTTCCACTCAAACACCTACCCCCAGCTCTCTCTTCTCTGTCTGTGCTGTTTACCTTTCCTCTCAGAGAGAAAGGCGTGTTTATTAAGCCACAGTTTTCATTTCTCATTCCCAAGAAACACTGTTTCTTACATTGCTTTCCTGATGTCAGAGATTTTAAAAGACTGTTCAGGAGGACACAATCCCACAGGAAATTAGCTCCACAAACCCCAGATGGACCAAGAAGTAGGAAAATACCTTAAATGTCCTAAGAAGTGTTACAATAAAGAATATCACTTAAGGGTGCTTAACACGGTTGTTCCCAAAGTTGAGCCATTTTATCACATCAGTGAGTGCTGCTTGAAGCATGCTCTGGGGGCTCCTGTTCTGACCACAACTGTTTTTATTTTTTAATTTTTAAATTAATTTATTTTTTCATTCCAATCCCAGTTCCCCCTCCCTCCTCTCCTCCCACTCCCCTCACCCCCCCCCACTCCCATCTGCTCCTCAGAGAGGGTAAGGCCTCCGCTAGGAAGTCTACTAAGTCTCATCATCTCATTGAGGCGGGACCAAGGCACCTCCCCACTCCCACACCCCTGTGTCTAGGCTGAGCAAGGTATCTCTCCATATAGGATGGGCCCCACTAAGTCATTTTATACATTAGAGTTAGATCTTGGACCAGGTTGTGGTGGCCACAACTGTTTTTATTTTGGCTCCTATTATGATGCTCTATTTTATAGCACTCCTGGTGAGTAGGCAAGGAGTTGCCTTCTTCCTCCTCCCCTATTGCTATGGTTTGGCTGTGGGACAGGACAGATGGACCCAGAGGGGAGTCACACTCCTGTTCTCAGCCATCACAAGAGGAGACAGGCACAGCATGATTTTAGAGACTGGGGGATGGTGGCACACACCTACAATCCCAGCACTCAGGAGGCAGAGGCCGGTGAACTCTCAGTTTGAGGCCAGCTTGGCATATAGAGTGAGTTCCAGACAGCCAGGGCTACATAGAGAGACCTTGTCTTGAAATACCAAAAAGGAAAACAAGAAAGGAAGAAAGGAAGAAGGAAGGAAGGAAGGAAGAAAAGAAAAGAAAGGGTATGATGGAGAGTTCACAGAAGGAATAGGTACTGGGCGAGCAGCGGGCAAGCCAGTCACTTCCTGAAGGAAGTGAGGAAAGGGCATTCCAGGCAGGGGTGCCGCTGGCATTAAGGCTGAGGACAGAAGATGTAGATCTGGGTGTGGAGAGGCTGACTGGTAGGCACTAGTCATGAGCTGTTCATCAGGGCCAGAGGTTTGACATTGGGTTTATTCACCTTAATTTTCAGGGATACCAATTTTCAGGGTTTTAAGCAAGAATGGAATGCTCAGAGTTAGGTGGGGGAAGTAGGCTCATTTTTAAAACTGACAGATAACTGTATTTTTATAAGGTACAATGTGACATTTCAATTCAGTTGTAGAGTAAGTAGCTGGCTAAATTAGTATTCTATCACATCAAACATCTGTTATTTCTTTTTTTTCTTCTTCTTCTTTTTTTTTTTTTTTTGATACAGGGTTTCTCTGTGTAGATCAGGCTGTCTGTAGACCAGGCTGGCCTCGCACTCACAGACTTACCACCTCTGCCTCCCAAGTGTTGGGATTAAAGCCGACACAGACCGATACCTGTTGTTTCTTTGTATTGGAAACACATTAGCTATTTAAAATGTACAACTATGTGTTGTCAACTCCAGTTGCCTCATGTTATTAGATGTTAGGTGTTATTTCTCTTATATAGCTGCGCCAATGTACTGTTTAGCCACAGTGTCTCCGTCTCCATCTACCCAGTGCCACAAATCATTCAGTACAGTTCTAAAGCACACTGTCTTGTGTTCTCCAAAAGTGTCAGAGTTGTGACAAGTGAAAAAACAGTGGAAGTGGCACCAATTAAGAGTAAAAAAAAACAGCTAAAGATAGAAAGCCAAGCTATAGAACACCAGATTGGAATTAAGGGAGTAGAATACGGATGATGTTATTAATGTCATTTCTCTTAGATGTGATCATGGTGCTTTGGTTCTGTGGGAGGATGTCTTTGTTTGTTTGCACTTTAGTATACCCTTGCTTTGTTTATATGTATATGAGTGTGTGTGTACACGTGTGTGGGCCCATGTTTGCTCATGTAGAAGCTAAAGGAAGATGTCAGGTGTCATGCTATTATTCCTCCTTGTTCCTTTGAGACAGCACTTCTAAACCCATCAGTCCTCCTCTCTCTGCCCCCATAACACTGGAGTTATGGGCGAACATGGTAATGCCTGGATTTTTACATAGGTGCTTGGGATTTGAACTCAGACCTCCATGCTGTGGTGGCCAGCACTCTTAACCAAAGAACAATTTCCCTAGCCCTTGCCCTACCCTCATTTTTTAAAAGAGGCATGCTGAGCCAGGTAGCACATACCTTTAATCCCAGTACTTGGGAGGCAGAAGCAGGAGGTTTTTTGTGAGTCTGAGGCCAATCTGGTCTACAAAGAGAGAGTTCCAAGGCAGCCAGAGTTACACAGAGAAACCCTGCCTCAAAATCTAAACAAACAAAAATTCTAAAAGAGGCATGCTGAAATATTTAGGGGTGATGTTGCACAATGCCTGCAACGTCAAAGTATGTGTGTGTTCGAGAGTAGGACAGCTGAGCAAATGCAACGCCTTGCTGGCCAGCTGATGAAGAGCCCATGGGTGATTTATTCTTTTAACCTTTGTAAACTTGAACTGTTTCAAGTGAAACAAAGAACAGAAAAAAATGAGGCTTCTGAAGCCTTATATGTTTCACAGTGTCTTTATATAATTATCAATCAACAAAAAAAGCCCACAGGCAGTTATGTCAGTGATTGATTGGGCATGGGGAGAGGAGGGAGGGCTGGATGAGAGGTCACTTCAGAGTCAATAAGGGGGTGAGATGAAGCAGGCTGGAAGGAAGACCTAGCACCAGTTAGGCAGTGTAACTCATCAGAGCCAGTGATGGCCCCAGTGTGGAAGGAGAAGTGGAAGAGATGGCAGGGAGCACCAAAGGGGTCTCCCAGGGCCTGAGGTGCTGAGTTCATGATGAACACACAAGGTCCATGGTTGTCCTGTAACAGGGCTGCACAGTCATCCTGGCCTATTGGTATGTTTGAGAGATTATATTGCTAGGTGCTGAACACAAGTCAGTGAACACAGAGACAAAACTCCCAGCTTCTGTGAGGCTTCCGATGTTTCACTGGGGAACAGACTTGGGAGGGGACAATAGCAGGGGCAGCCTAGTGGAGCTTGGCACTTTTTACTAAGAGTCATGGGTGGAGAGGTGGCAACACTCTGGATTGTGAGGGGAGGGGATGTTGAGGGAGTGACAAGCGGAAGGACTCTGAGGCTGGAGTCTGCCTGGCAAGGAGGCCAGGGTGATCATGTGATGTCTCAGGGAGAGGCACTGTCATCACTCTTGGCTCTTCCTAGGAGCCTGTAGCCAGTGAGGGTTTGGGGCAGAGCTGAGCACCAGGCACAGTGTGACTCAGGCTCACCACAGCTGCTTGTCTGTAGACCTGCTGAAGGGAGATAAGGCAGAACTTCTATAAGACTGTACTATGGTACAGTCAAAGATGGTGTTGGTCAGTCAGGGTGGAGGTCCTAGGGGTGCTGATAATTCTGGGTGTATTCTGAAAGCAGATCCAAGAGGATGTGTCTTCAGTCTGCACATGGACATAGAGAGACTTAAGGTAACATCCAGTTTTCTTTTGGTGGAACAATTAGAAAAATGAGGTTGTAGATAACTGGTTTGGGGGAGACTGTGGGAGATGTGTACTTCGGGGAAGCATCAGGAACTCAGAATAGAACATATGGATGCCTTCAAGCAGCGAGGCCAAGTGTCCAGTGGGATTTATGC